GGGGGGTGAAAATGGAGAAGTAAATATATTATTATTTACACTTTATTTTTCTTTGATGTAGAAAGCATCAGGGGCAAAATAATGTTTCCCGTGGAAAAGAAAGGTGGGTGGAGGTGGTGGTGGCAGAAAACGAGAAAACAACATAACATGCGAACTTTTAAAGTGTGAAGATAAAGGTTCTTGTAACGTTTTCAGCAGTTATGCAAAAACGGGGGAGAAAAGTATTCGGTTTATATCTGTTCCAAGCACATTTTGCATGTCTTGGTTGGCTAAGACCAGCGAGAAGAAAGTCTCAAGTAATAATTCTAATGCAGAAAAACAGAAAAGATACATAATTTTGTCAAGAATAATTATGGCTCAAAGTGAGGAAGGCAGTTACACAAGACTACTAAAAAAGTAAATTACACACGTCTAAAAGGGGATCAGTGGGCGTCTTAAAGCTTCTGACGTCACTGGTACACTATAAAAACAAAAACATATTTTTAAAAGCAAAAACACAAAAAAATACTTATTTCAGTTTGGTCCACACACAAAAGGCAACCTGAGGATTATATCTAAGGGAATGAGAGCAACTCCTGCAGTTTTATTTTGTTTGATTAGTTTTGTTTCGTTTTGTCTTGTTGTGATTTTTTTCTTTTACTTTGGTTCGGTTTCACAATACACAATATACACACTGTCAAATCGACATGAAGTTATGAGTAAGCAAGCTCTGAAAATGGATTTTTTTTTTTTTTCAATTTTCATTTTTGTGACATGACATTAGCCGTTGTTTTTTTCGTTGACTTTCCAGACGCGATCATGAAAAAGGCTACTCTGGGTCAAAGTTGTCTTTGATAGACCAAATCAAATTATGTTAATGTTATTGAAAATGTTTAGGTGAACAAAGAAATATTGAAAAGGGTTATAAATGTATTTTTAAGAACGCTGGTGTTATGTGAAGTACCGGTACGCAGAACTAATCAGTTTTAATATTTTAAAAATTGTAGCCGTATATATTATTCTGTTTTATGCCCTCCGTGACACAATCATATTTAAGTAATTAATTAGGAGCAGGCTGCTTCAAGCAGACAGACAGAGATGCTCGATTAACAAAAAGTACCCC